TTACTAGTTTCATATCTTTGATGCAATCCCAAAAATAGAAGAGTTTTGGTTTAAATGCTCAATACGATTCTTGGCCCAACACCAATTGCTACTTTGAGCTGTTTTGTTTTGAAGAGTAGATTGGTGTCAGCCTGGCTTAGTCGTTTGCGTTCTCACCTCCAAGTCAGAAGGTCTTTGACCGGGACTTTGAACTCAGTCTAGGCTGACCCTCCAGTGTAATGCTGGATGCAGTCGTTTGGATGAGACATTAACCCAAGTCCTCCCTCCCTGTTCAGTTTGGATGTTGAAGATTCTACAAATCAAAAAGAGAGCTCTATACACAAATTGGCTGCTCCATTCGTCTATAAAATACACAGTCATTACAGTTTAATATTAAATCCTGTGGAGCGTATTTGAATGTCCTCACAATGTGAAAAATATCTGGATGCAGTTTGTTCTCGTGTTAATGAAGGAATTTCCAGATTTCTGTGTTTTCAGGGGGATAGTTTTTAACCATTAACTTGATTTTGTGTGTGTGCATGTCTTTTTATGTAATGTACATAACCAATTTGCTATTCAATTACAGACCTTATTCAACCCAAACAAAACCGTGGTGAAAATGTTTCTAGTGACTTATGACTTCAGTGACATGCCACCAAACCACATGACATTTTTGCGTCACAGGATCTTTCTCGTGCCTGTAGAAGAAAATGAAGGAACGCATCACAATACGGAAAATTTGGAAGCAAAGAAAAAAGTACTGTGTCATCTGATCCATTTGAGGTATGCTGCTTTTAATGGCACGTGTTTGTTTATATACTATACTGTAATCTCGCTTTTGATCTGCATAGGATGTTCCAAATGATGTATCAGATGATGAGGCAGTTCCTTATCCATTTAATTTATAACATAATAATAATCCTTGCATTTGATATTGCATCTTATCGCGTCATTGAGATATCTCAAAGCACTTCACAGACTATATATTAAAGTGAATTGACTGTATATTTGGGGCAAACCGTGGCAGCCAGTTGAGCACAGCAGTGTCCCACAAATGGTTGTGGATTGAGTGACCACTTTTTTTGAGGGATTATTTCTCCTAGAGAGCGATCTGCGAATCGACTAACAATCAGTTTCCTACTTTACTGCAAGGCAAACAGCGGTGTGTGGAGTAAGGAAACTTGCCTGTGGTTTTTCCGTGCCCAGGAAGTGAACCCGTGTCTTCTCGTTTGCAAGGCGAAAGTGCTAACCATTACACCAGATGGGACTCTAATTTTCTACTTTCTGGATATTAAAAACGCGAATCTTTACACAACCAAGAGTCTTGACTGAGATTTTAAAAGATTGTGCTGTAACTTTTTTTTTCCTCTCCTGTGCTAATGAAAGCTGGATTTTTAAGATTCCTTTCTGCATTTTCACCGGGTTAAAATGAAAACTCATCGCATCGTACCTTACTTAAGAGCACCTTCTTTATCAGGACTTCAAGGCCTATGAAGCATCTTATTTCCTTTAGCCTTTTCTTCATTCTATAGTTTTATTTTAAGACAAGTGTCGTGTTGCCCATGGACTACTTGATCTATTTAATCTCTGTTGGCTGAATTATTATAATAATAATCCTAACATTTGAAATAATGTCTTTGATCTCAGGAGGACATTTTGAAGAACTTCATAGAAATTACTGTGAAGTGGAATGCCTGAGTTTTGTGGGTGAATACGTTCAGCTGTCCTTTGTGTCCTGCAGGTTATTTGCTGGCTTCGCACACCCAAAAAAATTGGCCAACATCTGACTTGTTGGATTAACACTGATGCAATTTCCTGCGCATGTGCCTCAGTAACTATTCTGTTCTACATATGTGAGTCTGGATTGTAGCTAACTGGCTCCTGTTTGTGTTTAATCCTGATATTGGGTTTCTAAAATGACTAAATATTCAATTCCTTATTGTTGACATCCTTTGCCTATATGAACATAAAAAGTACATAATAAAACGTTTTAATAGATTACTGAATGAATATCAACAACTTAGGAGCCCATTTGATCCCTGAATCCAAACCCACTCTTATCATTCATTCACACATGGTAACCCTTCAACAACAACAACAACAAGATTCCATTTATTGAGCGCCTTTCACGTCGGGAGGACGTCCCAAGGCGCTGTACAGTTGGGTCAGGACCCGAGCAGGGGGGAAATGGTCAGGGTGAGGGGAGGGAAGGGAGGGAGCGAGGAGGGGGGATATGGTCAGGTTGAGGGGAGGGAAGGGAGGGAGCGAGGAGGGGGTAGAGAGTCGAGAGGGGAGCTGAAGGCACGGTCGAAGAGAAAGGTCTTGAGACCGGCCTTGAAGGAGGAAAGGGAGGAGGCGGCGAAGGCACTGGGGGATGGAGTTCCAGAATAAGTTCAGTAGCTTATTCAGGTGGTCATTGTTATTTGACTGTAGAGGGCATTGACCTGAGCGTGATCTTGGCCCTCTCACATCTTTCAGACCTTCCAGCAGAGCGTTACTAGAGACTGATCAGAAAAGCAGAACCATTATTGATTTCCTTAAGTCCCCTTCTCCCTCTCTTCCTCCCCCCCCCCTCCCCCCCCCCCCAACACACACACATACACAAAACAAATCAGAGCGCCAAGGCGAACTTTAGCACTGCAAATGCTGTTCCAACAGATCGGCTTCTTCAGACCAGGCTAGGAGTTGAACTTTGGAAATGCTTGATGGCACGTAGCCAGTAAGCTGCTTATGGGAGTTGCCATATGCAGCTCCAATTTTTGTACATGGCTGAGAAATAATATAACAACGGCCCCGTTGTTCAAAATTGCAAGCTTTTCCTTACATATTTATCTTGCAAACTAGTAGTAAAACTGAGCTTTTTGTTTGGCATTTCAAAAGGTCCCCATAACAGCAACTCACTCAAGAGCTTGTACAAGTCCAGGTTGTAATGGAAGCCATGACTGAAAAGTGATGCAACATTCATGAAATCATTGCAGTTAAAAGCATAGAAGTGTCACTGGGTAGTTACCTCCAACCTGTGCAGTCTCTGTGATCAAAAACTCTTTGCTGCCTTTGATAGGCCCTTGGAATAGTATATTAGTCACAGTAGTTAAAAGGCAATAAGTAAAATAAAATAGATAACAATAGAAATTACTTAATCAAATAAAATGGAAAAATTCTGACAACTTATGGAAATATTGGATCATGCAGATTATGTTTGCATGAGAAGAAAATATGTTCATGATGTGCATTTTTTCAAAGCTCAATTCTTTTCTGGGAATTTCCAAGAATTATTTGATATGGTCCACATGCTACAGTTGTAACACTTACAGACCTCAGATGGGAAAATGGAGTTTGAATTTGTCTCGACTCACCTCATCACACTGAGCCATCGCTTAGAAACAACACTGATCTGATGACGATGCCGTTGAGCACTGATCCAGTAGGTTCTTCCTTGTGGGTTACAAGAAACAAAACTGGTGTCTGGACTAAGTCTGCCCAAAACACATTCAGGACTAACATGAGAAAGGACAACTATTACAAAATAATCTTCTTAGGGAAAGTGAACCTAATTCATGGAGTCGTAAAATATTATAGCACAGACTCGGTTTCAATAGTTTAATTGGCGTTTAGTCATTTTCATTATCAACCAAACTGTGATCAGTGTCACTGTTTATTTTTCAGTTTTACAGAAAAAAAACAGTAAGATCAGCAAACAGACTGGAATTGTGAACAAATTAGCAGGTTGAACCCACTAATGAGTTTGTGTTGCTGTAAAGTTAAGTTTCCAGTGCTTGTTTCAGGCAGAAATTCAAAATAAGTGCCTCAGTCTTTCAAACCAAAGGTTTGCACTGAAATGAATTTGTAGAGCAATTTTTTACTGGATTGACAATTTGTAAGACTGAATGATAAAAATAAGTATAAGGAGTAACTATTTTCAGAAAAGAATCACTGCTGTTTTAGCCAAGTTGTGAGGTAGTCAGTGCCTGGAGGCCATATCGTTAATTACAGGGTATGAAACTTACAGGATCAAAATTGCCGGAAGCTGGACCAGAGGCCACCGATATTCAATCTCATCTGCTCTCTCCAGAACTTGTTTTCCCACCAGATGGAGGCGTAGAAACTTATTCACGTCTTCAAACCGTAGCTGAGATTAGCCGATACAAAGCAGGATTTGATGCCCACTATGGATAGAGTCCTTTCTTTTCTGTCCTGTCTGAGAGGGAGTGGAGCATGGAAACTCTTGTATTACCAAAACAAAAAAGAGGCAAACAAAATTTCAGAATGATTACAAACAGATTTCCACATCTCTGACATAATTGCAGCAAGTGTACCTGATGCTTTGATGAATGATTTTTGTAAATGTTACATCACTTTACTGGACATGCTTGCATTATATCTTGACCTTTTACAAGCTCTTGACTGTTGTCCCTAATATGTTGGGTCATTGTATTTTGTAATGCAGAGCAAAGATGGGTTATGCTACTAGCTTGGAGGTATATTAATCCTTGGGTATGTACAGACAGTGGGTGTGTGTGGTTGCCTCTTGTGGTTTCATGGGTAAATGCACCATGTGATATGGCATTGAGCCTGACAGACCAGGATTTAGCTGACGGCAATGGGATGCTGCAGTTGACCGCCCTCAGTTGGAAAGGGGAAACAGAAGAGTTTAATTCCTGGATGTGACTTGAGGATGGCCCCACTGATGGACTACATAGTTCACTTGGTTGCCACGCTAACTGTTTGGGTTGATGCAAAAAAAATGACTACTTTATGAGTTACTAGAGGGGAAAGGAAGGAGGAAAATTAAAAAAAGAAAAAAATACACGTGTTTTTTGTCCATTGCAAATTCAGATTTTTTTTGAAGTATTCTCTAATGGTTCTCCATATGTCCAGCGAGCATTATGTTTTGTAAGAAATAAAGTATTTTGTAAGAAATATACGGCTGAGCCCATTGTCATCGATTATTAGACATCTTTCGTTGTTTTACATTGCGCAATAACCAGGCGTGATCATTTTCTATTTTTATTTCCTCTCTAGTATTCTCGAAGAGGAATACCACAGGCGTTGTTAACACCAACACAGCAGCGATGTGCATCAAATCTACCCATGAACACAGTCATGCTATTTGTTCCACAACAGGAAGCATGGGTGATCGAAAGGATGGGACGTTTTCACAGAATACTGGATCCAGTAAGTTTTAGCATCAATCATAGAATCATAGAATTATACAGCACAGAAGGGGGCCATTCGGCTCATTGTGTCTGTGCCAGCTCTTTGAAAAGATCCCACTCCCCGCTCTCTCCCCAAGGTCCTGCAAACTTGTCTTCCCCAAATAATTATCTACTCTCTTAAAAGTTGTTATTGAATCGGCTTCCACCACCCTTTCAGACAATGCATTCCAGATCTGAACAACTTGCTCTGTGAAAAGAATTTTCCTCACCTCCCCACTGGTTCCTTTAACAACTATTTTAAATCAGTGTCCTTGGGTTACTGACCCACTCACCAGTAGAAATAGTTTCTCCTTGTTCACCCTATCGAATCCCCTCATAATTTTGAAAACTTCCATTAAGTCTCCTCTTAACCTTCGCTGCTCCAAGAAGAATAATCCTCGCTTCTCCAGCCTCTCCTGATAACCAAAGTCCCTCATTCCTGGTACCATCCTGGTAAACCTCCTTTGTACCCTCACATTTTTATTGAGTACCTGAGCTATAGAGAGAGGAAAGGTATAGAATTTAAATCCTAACCCCTTCTGAGTCTGCCTATCTCAGCTGAGACAACACTAGAGTTTCTACACTGAAACCTTGTTATACTGCAGTTGTTTGGATCCATAAAGTCCCAACCTGCACTACGGACGGTTCATCTGTCCGTGCTATAGCTGGCTGGCCGACTTCCTGCACACTGTCGGTTTCTGTGCATTAAAAAAAAGCACCAACTTTTGGTGATCAGGTGGCCACTGATATCACTTCCTGTTTTTGCTGCATTTGCACGTAACAAGAAGTAACATTGTCATCAACTTGGTGACCAAAACGCCAGCTATTTTAAAGCACAAGCAGACGAACTGGACCATGCACAGTGATTGGGTGCCACAGCCATGCTGCAAATGCGTTAAAGCTGAATTCACGCTTTAAACAGGACTGGACTGTCCCATTGGCTTCAATGACTAAAGTTGGGGTGGGATCAGTAAGCCAGAATTTATTTTTTTTGAAGTAATTATTACCCCCGGAATGGCTGATTTATGAGTCATCAGATCACTGCCAACGTCATTTTCTGTTTACTGCACTTGCCCAGCGTTTGAGTTTGTGTTGACGCACCTTCTCACACTGAATCAGGCATGGGAAGAAACTGATGTGATGACCATGCCGTTCAACACATTCTTAACCTACTTTGTAAAACTCTTAAAAGCCTCAATTTCTTAGTGATCTTTTCCAGTAGTTGGTTAATCTGTGATTGTAAAATAAAACGATTAGTGGTTTGTGGCCACATTTGTTGGATCTGTTTCCCATTAGTTCTGGTTTGTCATATATATTCTCATAGTTGGGTAAGTTTACAAGGTCTCCATTACGTGAATAACCTTAGGAATTTGTGGTGCTTGCCAATCCTTTTTTTTAAACTCCAGCTTTCAAGACCATTTTTGGAGAGGTTGAAATGTCAATTTACTGAAAGCAAAACCAAACCATGCTTGTTGAGTTTGCATGAATTACATGTTCCAAGCTAGAGAATATGGCAGTTAAAAACTAGTTCTTAGGAATATTTAATTTCTTGTTATAAATCAGTTTTATTTTTATCATTATTTTGGAGAACTATGTCAGCTTCACTGAACAGGGAATCTTACTATGATAATCTTGTTAGGAATGGTTAACGCTTACTATACTTTCCTTTCCAATCCCATCAAAGCCTGACAATTAGCTACTTATGTCTGAGGATGAAACCCCCAGGATAGGATTTATATATTCAATGAGTGGACAAGCATGAAAACTCCTATGTATTGCACCAGTTAAGCTAAACACTCTTAAGGCTTATGCTGGACGAAAGGCACTATCTAAATTCGAGTTGTTTTTGAGTCCAAATTTTCCATGTAATAATTGGGACACAAATTGTCATACTTTCTGTTTCTGTTACACACGAGAAGAGCAACATTTTTATATCGTGCTAGGAAGATAAAATGTGACAATGCTGAGCTTCGGACAAGTTGATTCCCGCACATCTCTTTAGCACCCCAGGACATTATCCTAAATGAAGAGCTGCATTTAAACACATGCTTTTGTTGCTCTAATGTGACCATAAATCTGTCTGTCACCAGTTGCTCTTGGTATTACAGTAGAGCACTGTAATAATTCGGAAGTTGGACCACCCAATAAATTCCCAACTAGTCTTATATTGGGACATGTTCACTGTGATGTCACCGATCATTTGACTGGTGACATCGTTGCACGTAGAAAGATGGTTGGCTTCCTGTATAAAACATGGCTGGCTTCCAGATCATGAGGTGGCTCCCAACCCTGCTTCACTTATAGCAAAGCACGTTACCACAGAGTTCTACTCTTTCATCTCAGTGAAACGCAATGATTCAATGGAATTGGAATCATACAACATTACAGCGCAGAAACAGGGTATTTGAGTGATCCGTCAAGTCCGCACTGATATTTGTCTTATCAAGAGCCACCAAGTCTAATCCCATTCTTCTGCTTGCTCCTCACACCTTTAATATTGGATAGTTAACAAAAAAATTCCTTTTATGGAGTCCCGCTTATAACATGGTGATTGGGATTGTAAAATCCTTACCTCTTATGCACCAGCTTATTCCCAGGCTTAAAAAAAGGTTGAATTTCAGGTCATCGGGTCGAGGTCAACATCAGTTCTTGTGCACTTAGTGTTCACAAAGCAGGAAGTGACATTAGTAGCGACCCAATGGCCTGGGCATTGACCCAGCAGGAGAGCTGGCTAGAAAATGTTCACACAGAATCTGTTAATTCTATTACCATGTATCTCCACAATAATGCACTTTATTGTGGCTCTGATTTGGTTATGAGTGCGCTGTGTTCTTTTTTACTTTTGCTGATTATCAGCACTCTTCCATTTCTTGCTGCAAGATCTGGAACCTGTCTAACATTCTGAGAGACATAATGCAAACTTTTGTATTTCTATTGCCTTTGCACAGGGCTTGAATTTCCTGATTCCAATTATAGATCGGATAAAATATGTGCAGAGCTTAAAGGAGATTGTTATTGATGTTCCAGAACAGTCTGCTGTCTCGCTAGGTAAGCACTGTGGTAAATTAAGATTCAATGTTGGACACTGAATTTGTCACATTCTTTTAAAGAGAATTTGCTTTCCCCAAAAAAACATAATGGATATGTTTTAATTTCACATCTGTAAAGTGCCCATAATTTAATGTTTGATTACAAACGAATAGATGTAAATACTGACTTCACTTGAAGATGTGTTGCTCACATTCATTTCAATAGAATTATGCTTATTGTAACTTTATTATTTCTATTTATTTTTTGCAGATAATGTGACTTTACAGATAGATGGTGTACTATATCTACGAATAGAGGACCCATATAAGGTAGTCTTGGTTTATATGAGGACCCATATAAGGTAGTGAATGTTTAAACTCTCTGTGTCTCACTTGTATGTGCTGCTACTAAAAATAATGCAGCATCAGGGCTGTGTGAACTGTTGTGGTATTTCCATTGTGTTTTTATAGAAGTTAAATAAACACATAGAATATTCCAGGACAAAAAAAGGCCATTCGACCCAATCTAGTCTGCCCTGGTGACTTCCTCTATATGCATAATTATGGCATAATTCTACTCCCTCATATGCTCTTCATACTTGCTAATGTTCCTTCTCTTCAAGTATCTATCTTACTCCCTTTCAAAATAATTGATTGACTCGGCTTCAACTTTGGTTTGCGACAGAGAATTCAACATGCTAACCACAAAATTTTGTGCACAAAATTTCAGTGTAGAGAATTGCAGATTTCATCTGGGTTGGCAGCAATGTAGTTCCTGTGCAGGCAAAACCAACTATCCCAGACCTACAGTTCAGAGGAAGAAAACTGCAAATAAATAAAGTCAAATTACTTGCAGCAGATTTCAAAGTTATGAGAAATTATCTTACTAAAGGAGTTATTTACAAATTTTGGTCAGACGAGTGTCTGACACATGTGGAAACCTATCACCATGCTTAAGTGTATCTAAACAACAACAAATTGCATTTATATAGTGCCTTTCACATCGGGAGGATGTCCCAAGGCACTGGACAATGAGGGTTTTGCACCTGAGCCGCAGGTTGGGGTCAGAAAGGGGTGGAGAGCAAGAGGGATGGAGGAGGTAAGGGGGCTTGACTGAAGGCATGGTCGAAGGTCTTGAGACAGACCTTGAAGGAGGCAAGGGAGAGGACGCAGCGGATGGGCTCCGGGAAGGAGACAAAATGAGCTCCATGCATCCCACTTATACTTGGAAATCCCAGAGATAATTATTGCAATGGAATACATACTCTCTTCCTGGAGATGCAGTGTGTGTGTTGGGGTTACTGCTGGAGTCTAACCAGCTAAAACCACAACATAACTTGCCATTGAGAGACCTGCCTGGCAAGGTTTCCCCCTGGCTGTACTGTCATCAACAGTGCCCTGGAATACTGCACACCTGCCTGGCTCAGGAACCAGACTGGAGACCGTCACAGAGGGTTATGTTCGATTCTGAATTCAAGGATTATTATTATTCCTTTGTCAAACATGTCACCTTGGAGCCAGTTCAGTTCCCAGGAGACCCCGCTTACCTCCCCCTCCACCAGGAGGATAGTCATAAATTGGTCATTTGACATCCGATAAGCACTAAATGAAGCCTGAGCTCTCACTGGGTGGAAGGCAGTACCAGGAATTCCCAAGTCAGAGTTTCCTGGTGCACAATACAGCTCAGCATGAAATGAGCGAGAAAGCATTGCCACCATCTTCATTGTAACAAGGATTTAAAAAGATGACGTTTTGCAACAGGTGACTGTAAATTAGGGCTATAACTACAGTGGAACATATAATCTGGGGAGGAAAGTATTTACTTAAAAGCAGTAATTGGCTGTAATTCAAGTATTAGAGTCGATTTAAAATGAGATTGATAGAAAATTGGTTTGTGTGTTCATTCATTCTTTGCTCACAGCAAATATTTGTTTGTTAAGTAGTCCCTTAACTGGAGTCATTTATATAAAACTTGACTTGTGGCCAGCACGTAATAAAATGTGGTTTAAGTACTTTTGCTTGAATGTTTTTTTAATTAATTAAAAAGTGCATGTTTAATAAAATGCAACGTATCCTGTGGAGAAATGGAAAGCTGGTCTCCGGCTGCATTCTTCAGTGCAGTACTTTCCCAAACTTGCCAGCAGCAAAGCCACCAAGTGACACTGTGTCATTATGCTACCAGTTGCTGTATCAAATTAAATGGTGTGATCCACTTGTGTGGCCGTATGTATGTTTGATATTTTACTGACTTTAAAACCTTCACAAAGTGTTAACATTAGTTTCATAAACATCTCTCCGTCAGACACTAAAGTCTGTAAAATGTGGATCTGTTCAGAATTATTCACAAATCTATTCACTCATAGAACCATATAACTTTACATCAGAGAAGAAGGCCATTCAGCTCATCTTGAAAGGGCAATTCAGTCCCGTTTATCTGGCTTTTCCCCATACTCCTTCAAGTTACTCCTTTTTAGATATCTATCTCATTCCCTTTGAGAGCTGCCTTGACCAATCCTCCCATCAGGGCACACTGCATCCTAGCAACCCTCTGTTAAATAAATAATAAAATCAAACCTCCTAATATTCTCTTTTGCTTTTTGGTAACTTTCTTGAATCATATATCTGGAGGGGAAAAAAGCTGCTTCAGTAACGTAACGTTTTGTTTGGAATTTCCACACTTAAGCAATTTTAAATTTAATTTTCGCTGCTGAATGTGCTACCAACCTTCTGTGCCACATTATAAATCTGTGTTAAACATTTTCTAATCAGACTTGCACTTCTTCCAAATTGGGGAAAAACTGGAAAGTGAACCTCCTTTGGCTGTGTGCCTCCAAAATACTCAAACAAGTTTGAAAGTTGTGGGGTATTTTCTATGATGGCTTCTGTTCAGAAATTTGGATATGCATCATTTGAAGAAATTATGTGACCATTTTGCACATACTCTAAACTCATGATAATTCAACCCTGTCTTAACTTGTGGAGTCCTGTAGCTCAGTGGTTAGAGCACTCGCTTTGCAAGTGAGAGACCTGAGTTCAATTCCAGGCAGGTCAGGGCGAAACCTTGGGCAAGTTTCCTTACTCCACACAGAGCCTAATAATAATCCCTCCAAAACCAAAAGCAATAATAAATTGGTCATTTTCAATCTACGACTGTTTGTGGGACATTGCTGTGCGCAATTGGCTGCCGCGTTCTCCCACAAATATGCAGTCAATTCACTTTACAGTGTGTTCTGTGAAGCGCTTTGGGACGTCCTCCCGACGTGAAAAGCGCTATATCAAAATGCAAGGATTATTATTATTATTTATTCATGTATTTATACATATGTCTAACTCACCACTCCTGATAACTTGTCACTGAGTCCTTTGCCCTTGGAGTGGCAAGTTATGAAGAGTTTACTGTTTGTGAATTTTAATGTGAGGCCACCTCTTCTTTCCCCATGTGCTGCTGGTAACAAATATATAGTTTTAAAAAATGAAATTGTTTGAGACAAATAAAATAAGAACATCTTGTGTTGATAGAGTTTAGCGCATGTTACATGTCTGTTCTATTGTCTGTGCAAACTCTGGACTATCCAGTGCTTTTCTCTGTGGTAGTGCCTTGACGTAGTTATATTAAATATCTATGATTTTTTTTTCCCTTCAGTCGAGTTATGGAGTTGAAGATCCTGAATACGCAGTGACTCAACTGGCGCAGACCACGATGAGATCTGAACTCGGAAAACTCACACTGGACAAAGTGTTTAGGGTAAAGCACTTTTCAGTTCAAATCATCTGATCCAGTCTTTTTTTGATCGTATATTTGCACATTAATGTCCAGTTCTGGATGCCAGCCTAGGGACGCATCTTACAGCTGTTTTATTCCAAAGTCAAGGGAATCCGCTCAGCTGCCTCTGCCACTGCATCTGCTATCCCCTCCCCATCTCCTCCTCCCACCCCGGCCCATGCCCATCCCTCCCTCCACACCTTTGAACCGTCTCTCCCTCCTCTCCCATCACCACCATAACCTGTATGAAACCTACCACCTGCTCCCTCGACCCCATCCCTTCCCCTCTCCTTACCTCCCAGCTCCACCTCCTTGCCCCTCTACTCACTGACATCGTATACCTCTCCCTGTCCTCTGGTACTGTTTCCATCCCATTAAAAACTGGCTGTCATCACCCTGGACCCTTCTCTACTCCCTAACTACCACCCCACCTCCAACCTCCCCTTCCTCTCCAAGGTTTATGGAATTCACTACACCAGAAGGCTGTAGATGCTCAGTCCTTAAACATTTTCAAGCTGAGACTGATAGATTTTTAAAAAATAGAGGGATTAGGGGATATGGGGATAGCGCAGGTAATTAGAGTTAGGTCAGAAGATCAGCCATGATCTTATTGAATGGCGGGGCAGGTTCGAGGGGCCGAATGGCCTACTCCTGCTCCTAGTTCTTATGTTCTTATGTTCTTATGCCTGGAACGAGATGTTGCTTCTCAGCTTCGCTCCTTCTTCTCTCGTCACTCCCTTCTCGAAACCCTCCAATCGGGTTTCCATGCCGCCCACAGCACAGAAACAGCCCTGGTCAAAGTGACAAATGACATTCTGTCCATCTGCGACCAAGGCTCCCTCTGCCTCCTCTTCCTCCTTCATATCTCTGCTGCTTTCGACACCATTGACCACTCTATCCTCATCCGCCGCCTCTCCTCTCACCTCAACCTCCACGGCGCTATCCTTGATTGGTTTAGATCGTACCTCTCACACCACGTCCAGTTCATCTCCTCAAACGGCTTCTCCTCTAGCCCCTGAACCGTCTCGTGCGGCATTCCTCAGGGTTCTGTCCTTGGTCCCCTCCTCTTCAGTATTTATATGCTCCCTGTTGATGACATCATCCGCATATGTATGCGGATGACACCCAACTCTATCTCTCTGCCTCCACCCTTGACTCCAGGACCACTGCTGTCCTGACAGAATGTCTGTCAGACATCAGGTCCTGGATGAGAGCAAACTTTCTTCAGTTGAATGTTAACAAGACGAGGCTCTCCTGCAGGTGCTGACAGCATCACCATCCATGGTTACAGACTCCACCTCACTAAGCCAGTCCGGAACCTTGGGGTCCGGTTTGTCCCTCAACTATCCTTTCTACCCCACATCTGTGCCATGAACCATTCTGCCTTCCCCCACTTCCGCAACGTTGCCCGGCTCACACCGCAGGGCACCAAAACCCTCATACGTGCTTTACATCAAGGCTCGACTATGCAAACTCCTTGCTTATCGCCTCCCCAACTCCTCCCTCCATTGGCTGCAGATCATCCAGAACTCTGCAGTCCGTGTCCTCTCCCGCACCATGTTCCCTGACCCTATCACCCTCATCCCCGCCCGACTCCACTGGCTTCCCATCACACAGAGTACACAGTTCAAGATCCTGGTCCTCACATTCAAAGCCCTCCACGGTCTTGCTCCCCCCTACCTCTGCAACCTCCTAAACCCCTACCATCCTGTTCAATCCCTCCGCTCAGCGGGCTCCGGCCTGCTTCACGTACCCCACCTTGCTCGCCCCACTATCAGCGCGTGGGCCATCCGACAATCTGCCCCCACCCTCTGGAACTTCATCCCGCAGTCCCTCCGTCTTGCCCTCCCTCGCCACCTTCTAGACCCATGTCAAGACCCTTTTCTTTAACCGTGGTTTTGATCTTCCTGCTTCCCCCCACCCCCTGCCCTCCACCTTCCCCCTCCCCGACCCCCATCTCTGGTCCGTAACTCTGTGTCCAGCGCCTTGGGATGGCCTCCCGATGTGAAAGGCGCTATACAAATGTAATTTTGTTGTTGTTATGGTTATAACTGACGGCCATGAATGATTCCCTGGTGTCAGGTGGAGTCCCTCAATAGGTCATCTACCCTGGTCTGAAACACAACAATGAAATTAAATTTGTCTCCAACAAAGATTAGAAGATTATTATATGTTATATTAGTGTTACACAGATATAGAGGGCAATCCTTCATTTAGTTTGCTATAAAAATATCTGAAAGTAGAAGGAAAGCTACGGAAGATTAAACATTACCTGATTTGTTCCTCTGTTCTTGGACCAATCCAGTGACTTCACTGATGATGAAGAAGAGTTGGAGGCATCTCAGACCAGTTCTGTTTAGTGTAACTGGTTAGTGTAACTGAGATCCACTCAAATCCATTGAAGGTCAGAACCAGCTAATTATTTTGTGAAGCACAATTTCAAGAGGTTTAGTTGCTCGACTCCATATAAACACCCCAGACCAGGACAAAGCTTCCAACCTGTTAAACTAAATGGAGCACCTCCTGCACCCACCTGGCTCCTCCTTGTTAGTGATGCCACTGGAGCAGCCTAGGAATGTCGGAGATGACACCCCAAACAATGTTAAAACAAAACTGCAGCAAAGAAGATCAATTAAGAATGTCGGAGTATAATAATAATAATCCTTGCATTTTATATAACACCTAATCACGTCTTCTAGACATCTCAAAACGCTTCACAGAATATACAGTAAAATGAATTGACTGTATATTTTGAGGTGAAATAGTCAGTAGACTGACTAATATAGGCATAGAGTGTTTAATGTTTAGTACATCAAATGTATCCAATTGTGCAGGAACCAAACCCCTGACATCCATGGAGCTTGGCAATCAGCTTCTGGCTCGTGCGACGTGGCTTTGGGCTGCCTGTAATACGTTCCCAAAGATTTTGTTTAGTAAATTGCTGCTATTCCTCTAACAGGTCATAATTATTCTCAGGGATCATATATTCTGTACAAAATGATTCTTTTCAGTTGTAAATTAAGTTGGTAATTTGTGTAACCCAGTGTGTGCCAATGTTGTTGCGATAAAATACATCTGATTGGATCTTCCAATCCTTGTTTTACGACAAGTGGAAATACTGAAATGTAATTCTGGTCTCGGTTTATGAGCTGTTCATTTTGAGAAATGAATTGGATGAAAAAACATCATCTGAGACAGCAAGAGACACTTTACTCAAGTGACATTATCGTTTCACTGCCAGCCCAGGCCTGCACTTGAACAGAAAGTTATATTTGACCCAAGATTCAAATAAAGATTTTCCTGATGTCTGATTTAAGAGTTGTACTTTTACCACAGCCCAAAAATGTAGAGTCCTGGAGCATATTGGTTAGAGCCGTCTCCTCACAAGCGAGAAGACCCGGGTTCGATTCCCGGCAGGGCGAAACCTTCGGCACGTTTCATTAATCCACACGCAGTAAGCAAGAACCCGATTGTTAGTTGATTCGTGGATTATCCGGGGATAATAATTTCCTTACAATTTTTTTTAATAATAATAATAATTTGTTCACTCACTCATTCCACAGCTGTGCGCAATTGGCTGCCATGTTTCTCCCACAAAATATACAGTCAGTTCGCTTTGAAACAGTGTGACAAAGCACTATATCAAATGCAAGATTATTATTAAAAAACTTCTTTTGTCAGTTTTGCTTCATCTGTATTCCAGAGATTGCTGTGGGTCATAGTTAACTTTTCACACAGGCTGAGTTATTGTAATGCAGTTCTTTTCTGTAGACTCAATTTACACAACCTTTGTCTCCAGTGAACTCACCTTCAGCAAATAAACCTTGACAGTTTTACTTTTATTATAGTTTCAGAAGTGCAAAGGCTATGCCTAATACATGGTACTACACAGCTTTCTATAAAAGTTCCTAAAGGATCCCGATCCTCAGTTCGGGTCCGAAACTCTGTCTGTCCAGCGCCTTGGGACCCTCCCGACTTGAAAGGTGCTATACAATTGTAATTTTGTTGTTGTTGTTGTTAAAGGGTTTTTATTATGCTTGAGAAGCAGATTCCAGGAATCCTCATCCACTGCCTCCTTTCACCTCAACCTTCACGGCTCTGTCCTTGATTGGTTCAGACCGTACCTCTCACACCGCCTCCACTTCATCTACAAAAACGGCTTCTCCTCTAGACCGCGGACCCTCTCGTGTGGCGTTCCTCAGGGCTTTGCCCTTGGTCCCCTCCTCTTCAATATCTACATGCTCCCTCTTGCTGACATCATCTGCAGACATGGGGTCAACTTCCACATGTATGCGGATGACACCCAACTGTACCTCTCTGCCTCCACTCTTGATTCCAGAACTACTGCTGTCCTGACATAATGTTTGTCAGACATCAAGTCCTGGATGAGAGCAAACTTTCTTCAGTTGAATGTCAACAAGACCAAGTCTCACCTGATTGGCTCCTGTCAACGCCTCCACACCTCAGGCGCTGACAGCATCACCATCTATGATTGCACACTCCACCTCACTAAGCCAGTCCAGAATCTTGGCGTCTTGTTTGACCCTCAACTATCCTTTCTACCCCACATCTGCGCCACGATCCACTCTGCCTTCCCCCACCTCTCCAACATCGCCGAGCTCCGCTACTGTCTCACACTGCAGGCCACCAAAACCCTCATACGTGCTTTACATCAACTATGCAAACTCCTTGCTTGTCGGCCTCCCCAACTCCTCCCTCCATTGGCTGCAGGTCATCCAGAACTCTGCAGTCCGTGTCCTCTCCCGCACCATGTTCCGTGACCCTATCACCCTCATCCTCGCCCGACTCCACTGGCTTCCCATCACACAGAGGACACAGTTCAAGATTCTGGTCCTCACCTTGAAAGCCCTCCTTGGTCTTGCTCCACCCTACCTCTGTGACCTAACTCCCTTCCATCCTGCTCGCTCCCTCCGCTCACCGGGCTCCGGCCTGTTTCACATCCCCGCCTCGCTCGGCCCACTATCAGCGGGCAGGCCTTCTACCGCTCCTCCCCCCACCCTCTGGAACTCCATCCCGCAGTCCCTCCGTCTTGCCCCCTCCCTTGCCTCCTTCAAGACCCTCCTCTTCGACCGTGCTTTCGGTCACCCTACTTCACCCCCCTCCCCTTCCCCCGCCCTCCACCCACCCCGACCCCCAGCTCAGGTCCGAAACTCTTGACTGTCCAGCGCCTTGGGACGTCCTCCCGACGTGAAAGGCGCAATACAAATGTAATTGTTGTTGTTGGTATGTGGATATGTGTACAATATGCTTGTGGGTTTGCTTTTTTTTTAAACTTATACATTCCAAGTTGTGTCAAGATGTTTGTAATGTGGTGGATTTTAAACTGATATTTGACTTAATGATTTTTATCACAGTGTGAAAATAGACATCTGTGTCAATTGCTTAGCCTTATGTAAATATATTAAAGAGCAAACCACTAGTTTTAGGTACCAAGATTATATAAGGAGACTTGGTCATAGTACACTCCATTAGGAGCAGGAACTCAACCTGTTAGCTGCAGTTTGTCATCCCTTTTGTTGCACCACAACTTGTTGTGCCACAGTTTGTTCTTCTATTGCTAATATTGCACCTGTTGGCAGTAAACAGGATCTGCTATCCAGATCATGTGTATCCACTACCTTTCAAAACCAAGCCAAGGAGCAAAAACTCAATCGGAAATAAAAATACTACAAGACATAATATTGAAAGAGCAGTAAAAAGAAGCTGGATTGCGTGACAGAGGTAAACGTATCTAGGGTTTTGTTTTGCGTGCTGAGACAGAATTGCATTTCTTGCATTCATTTTATTTTGTTCGCCACTTCTTATTCAGCAGGGAACAAGTGCCTGTTGTCTTATCACTGACACAGGCATAAACTATCTCCCAGATCTACATCAGAGCTGCTTACTTGGAGAGTAAACCCTTATTCCTTACCATTATTTTTAATTTGACATTGAAATCAAAATAGAAATGGAATTTTAGCAAAACATCTATTGGAAGGTTATGTGTGGACAATGAATCTGCCTGGTTTTACAATGCATTCAATTTTAGCATTTTAAGTTAAAAGTTAATATAGTCATCTTCATTATTTAATATTAATTTTAACCTCTTTAAAATATTTGTTGTATCCTCTTTCTTGAAGGGGAAATACTTGCTGATGCCCTTTTGGAATTGAGCTTATCCCACTACCTGTGAGACATTCATGTCAGTTTACTTTGTTATATCCTGCGAAATATTTGTCTCTAAAGGACTGTGTTATTGATTGAAAGAGAAACATATGGTTGAACGCTCCAAGACACTACCTCCGTGAAGGGTACTATATAAATGCAAGATGTTGTTTTAGTTTTTGCCTTAGTTTTCCATTAATCTTTGAGCACTGACTCTCCAATTGATTTGCAGGAAAGAGAAGTACTGAATATGAATATGGTGACTCAAATAAATCAAGCAGCAGATATGTGGGGGATCCGGTGCTTGCGATATGAAATTAAGGACATCCATGTTCCACCTAAAGTGAAGGAGGCCATGCAAATGCAGGTATATGTGGATGTTTATGTGTGTCATTTTCTTTGGTGGAAAGCAAATTGACTTGCACAGTATTTTGACTGCAAAGGGTTCTAAGCAGGGATGGCCAGTCATACAGTATATCTAGTGGTTGATGGTGTGCTATCATTTACTGAGTGGAGTCCTGTAGCTCAGTGGTTTGAGCACTCACCCCGCAAACCAGAGACCTGGATTTGAAAACATTGCGCAAGTTTCCTTTCTCCACACACCTCTGTTTACCTTGCAGTCATTCGGAACCCGGTTGTTAGTAGATTGGCGGATCGCTTTTCTGGGGATAATAATTCCTTCAAAAATAATAATAATAAATTGGACACTCAATCCACGACTGTTTGTGGGACACTGCTGTGCGCAATTGGCTGTCTCGTTTCGCCTACAGAGTATACACTCAATTCACTTTACACTATATTCTGTGAAGCTCTTTGAGATATCTCGAAGACGTGATAAATGCAAAGATTATTATTGTCATTCTCTTTATATATTATGTTAATCACTTTGCTGGTAGAAACAGGTACTCTCTCCTTGAATTCTGTCTCAATCCTCTCCTGAAAGTACTATTTTAGGATTTGGTTCCATAGACATTGGCAATTCTCTCATATCATAGAATCATAGAATTATACAGCACAGAAGGAGGCCATTCAGCCCATCGTGTCTGTGCCTCTGCTCTTTGAAAAGAACTATCCAAATCAATCCCACTCACCCGCTCTCTCTCCATAGCCCTGCAAACTTGTCCTCCCCAATAATTATCTATTTCTCTCTTAAAAGTTGTTATTGAATCGGCTTCCACCACCCTTTCAGTAATGCATTCCAGATCCAAACAACTCGCTGTGTAAAAAAAATTCTCCTCAGCTTCCCTCTGTTTCTTTTAACAACTATTTTAAATAGGTGTCCTCGGGTTACCGACCCATCCGCCAGTGGAAATAGTTTCTCTTTGTTCACCCTATCGAATTCCCTCATAATTTTGAAAACTTCTATTAAGTCTCCTCTTAACCTTCTCTGCTCCAAGGAGAATAATCCCAGCTTCTCTAACCTCCCCTGATAACTGAAGTCCCTCATTCCTGGTACCATCCTGGTAAATCTCCTTTGCACCCTCTCCAATACCCTGATGTCCTTCCTAAAGTGTGGTGCCCAGAACTGAACACAGTACTTGTCCATATCTTGCCCAATACCTTGCTCGAGGCCCCATTTTTCATGTGTGAACCTAGGCAGCTGAGTTTATTTAATCTCCTCCCTGGCTCGGAGAAAGGAGGCCAATTAGAGCATTTCAACTCTATTTCTAAGGACTGGAAAACAAGTGGTTTCTCTTACTAGGGTAGGCCAGGCTGAGATCAATGACAAACCAATTGTTCGGTCTTCCCATTATGAAATGGCTGCACAAATAAAATGTGACTTTTTTTAAAATTTTCCGTATAATGCTAGTTCATTTTCTTCATTGTTCGTACTTTGTCCAATTGCTGTGCTGAGAAGGAAAATTGGGTGATCTGCTCCCAAGGTTTTCTAATGGCTCTCTAGAAGTAGTCACTTGGAGCTGCAGGAAAACAGCGTGAGGTGATGCATCTGACAATTTGCTTTACTTTCCCGCTGAGGAAATGTCTACACTTGCACTAGCAGCTCACATCAGAGCTCCTCGTCTATATGAGAAAATGCGAATACAGGCTTACGCGCATCCCACCATCCTTCGGTGCAGTTCATTAAAGCTCCAAGGTACAGTGCCACCTACTGGGACGTATCATTTAATACAACAGATTCCAACTAAATGTGGGTTGCTTTATTTTTTAAACTATATTTGCAGCTGTATTAATGTTGATCTGGTTTAATGTCACAGAATGAACGTAGTTTATTCAGCAGCTGTTTGTGGGATACTGCTGGATGCAATTGACTGCCGCATTTCACCCACAAAATATACAATCAATTCACTTCACAATATATTCTGTGAAGCACTTTGAGAGATCTCGAAGACGTAATAAGGCGCTATATCAAATGCAAGGATTATTATTATTATTAATATAGCTTCATCATTTCAGGTTGAAGCTGAAAGAAGAAAGCGAGCCACGGTGTTGGAATCTGAAGGGACCAGAGAATCTCAGATCAATGTTGCTGAAGGAAAGAAGCAAGCTCGAATTTTAGCTTCTGAAGCAGAAAAGGCAGAACAGATCAATCAAGCTGCAGGTTGGATTTTCACTGTGGACTATTTGTTTTAATTATGTCATTCACGCTTCACAAAGTTAGTTCTACTTAGAAAATCAAAGGTTCTGCTTAGGTGGCTTACCATATCCCAAATGTTCTATGAGTAATTTAAATTGCATTTTTTTAAAGTCCGTTTAATTTTCTCCTCTCCTGGAATCACTGAGTTCTGTTGGAGTCAGGTGCTACATGTGCTAGTTATCCTCGGGTGCCTGAATATTGACAGGTCACGCAAATGTGTGAACCTCCTTGGCCTATCTCAGACTTACTGAACCTGTGCGTAACCTAGGTGTCAGGTTTGATTCCCAGTTGTCTCACCTACCCCATATCCGATGCCTGACCAAGACTGCTTTCCTCCACCTCCGGCACATTGGGTGATCTGCTTCCACCATACTTCACACCCAACCATACTTCACACACAATCCTGCCGAAACCCTTATCCGTGCATTTGGAGTCCTGTAGCTCAGTGGTTAGAGCACTCGCTTTGCAAGCGAGAGACCTGAGTTCAATTCCAGGCAGAGGGCGAAACCTTGGGCAAGTTTCCTTACTCCACACAGAGCCTAATAATAATCCCTCCAAAACCAAAAACAATAATAAATTGGTCATTTTCAATCTACGACTGTTTGTGGGACATTGCTGTGCGCAATTGGCTGCCGCGTTCGCCCACAAATATACAGTCAATTCACTTTACAGTATGTTCTGTGAAGCGCTTTGGGACGTCCTCCCGACGTGAAAAGCGCTATATCAAATGCAAGAATTATTATTATTATTTGTCACCTCCCACCTCGGCTATTCCAATGCTCTCCTCGCCAGTCTCCAGAGCTTCACCATTCATAAAATGCAACTAATCCAAAACTCTGGTGCCTGTGTCCTCACCCGCACAAAAATCTGTATCCCCATCATTCCAGTCCTTGCCAGGCTCAAGTGGCTTGCCTGTGGCACTATTTTAACAGGACTATTGTGGCACTATTTTAACTCAGTGCAACAAGTTATAGCAACCTGGCCAGTATTCTTCTCGCATCAAAAATCACCAAAGAATAAATCCCCATTTTAAATTGTTATTAAATTTGTGATCATTTGTGGGAGGTAGGTGAAATGTTTGTTGACATAAACAATATTCACTACAAAGCAGCCTGCGTTTTTGTAAGACACTATATATCAAAATATTTATTGTTTTCCAAGGCTATAATCTGTTATATTTATAACCTGTTGCAGTGAGTTTGATGTTTGTAAATGAGAAAGGCTCAAAACAGAGATGAAAGCCATGTAACACTGTAACTCAGGTGGACGCTTTATTTATTCGATGAATGTTAAGCTCAAGGTTCAAAGTTGTTCTGGAATATGATCTACTGATATTACAAGTTTGTGCAATCCAACCAATTGCTTTGAAGCAATGTAATGATAATAATAAAATGTCCAATTGAACTGTTACTGTTGGTTATTGCAACTTTGGAAAGTCTTAGGTATCCTATCATCTATGCTGCCCTTAAGCAGTTCAGAACGTGACACATGTCTGCAACTGCCAGGATGGTGGATGACGAACTGGATGGACCTTGGTCTTGCATTTATTCCGATCCGTCCCTTAAAAGTATCTGTAATGGAATTACTTAAGCTTTTACGATAAAATTGCTGATATCCAAGTTATTATGATGCTGGCAAACTGATGACCCACAAGTCGGAATTTTTTTTGTGTGGGCAAATACACCATGATACCAGCTATCATGCCTTCTTATAATTGGGGAGTATAAGAGGCTCACTGTGGTTACCTTAAAATCCACTACATGGACTGCTGCTGATTGACATGTTGTGGGTTTATAATTTGAATTTTTTTAATACACATAATTGTGTGGTTTTTTTAGCTAAACAAAATTCAGTCAATAGACTCTTGGTCACTAGGTTACATTGATATATACCGAGCCACGTGGTAATATTTTACACAGTCAAAATTTGGGCCATTGATGTTAGGCAACTTGAACGAAATTGATTGAAGCAAAATGGGGGTGACATAAGGGATTAGAAGTGAGTCAATTCCTCACTCATGGAATAGTTGTATGTCATGTTTTTTCTTTGTAACAAGTCAGATTTTGATTTCATTACTCAATTCAGTCGGAAATTCAGCAACAGCATTGGCATTTCATGTTGTACGCTATAGTCAATAGGCACTTCTTTGAATCTTACTGTTTATAGAGCTTAGATTGATAAACTATGAAATTGCTTCAGGTATATTTAAAATCAAGGCTTGTGTCACCTGGTTGCTTTGTGACCTATCCTGTGTTTTTCCAACCCATTTAAATGTTTTTGATGTCCTCCACTATGGTCCTTGGTCTTTCATTTCAATAATAAAAAACCTGCTCTTTCGTCTGTGGTAACTTTTCTAAACTCGATCTAACTTTCCCAACCAAATTAATTTCATTTGTACGTATTAATAAGAAGTCATTAGTGTAAAAAGGCACCGAATGTGTTTGTGCTTTAGACATAAATTGTTTGCGACTTAATTCAATCTGTCTTATCATTGACTATTTATTTGTTTACAGGTGAGGCCAGTGCAGTCATAGCAAAAGCAAATGCTAAAGCACAAGCCATTGAAATGCTTTCTCAAGTCCTTTCACAGCAGGTAATCATCAGTGAATCTGTGATGTGACATGAAGTAAATTATACTTTTATGTTTTTTACAAAGAACTGACTAGGATTCGCTTTTCATTTTTCTCTCCCTCTGACTGACAGCATGGAGGTCAAGCAGCATCGTTGACTGTGGCAGAACAGTATGTGTCTGCCTTTGGGAATATGGCCAAACAGAGCAATACAATTATTCTTCCTTCAAACACAAGTGACATTACTAGCATGGTGACCCAGGTAAGATGTATTCTGACCTATTCTCGGCCTAAGATTTAGACTAACCACAATCCTTCTGAACGTTCTCGTGAGTCAATGGTCATAAGAACGGTGGAGCTGTATCAGAGACCATTGAAAGCTTGAGCCAACCTTTTCATTGCTCAGCGTAATTTACAAAGTCAAAAAGGAAATATGCAAAACCAATTAAAAAAAAATTCACAAATACATTTGATGCATTTTAAATGTTGTGATGGTAAGCCTGCCCTGTCTGTCTATGGGACGCCATTGAAGTGGGATAAGACTACTTAAAGGTAGTTGTTATCTCTTCACTTTGCCCATGTTCAAAATGATGACAGTGGTAAGAGTTGTAAGACTTGTGTTAACTGCTGAAAATTATTCGCCCTGTGCAAAACATATATTATATTGTGGTAGAATTGCGATGCTCATCCATCATTCACGTCAGCTAAGGAATGTTGCTGTTTTTCAGAATAATATCTCATCCTCAAAAATAATTTCTTATTGAATTTAAGTTTTGTAGCTTTCTTTGTAGTAAGATGCACGATGGTGTACATATTGTTATGCATAGATTTCTGTGTGTGCAGCATTGTATTTTGTCGGTGTCTTGATCTATCTGAACACTAGTCTGTCTTTATTGTATGTGTGCAGGCCATGGGAATTTATAACAGCCTTACCAAAAAGCCATTATTGAAAGAAAAGGCAGAGGCAATTGATGTGGATAAATCACAGCTAATCAGTGGAAGGCGAACATTTCCTTCTGACACCTAGTGGTTTGAAATTTCTACCGAAGGATGGATGACGTATTGTAACCTCCAGATTCTGACGATTTCCAAGTTCAAGAAATGCATGCATGTCATGCTCATACCAGAACATTTTTGTATTCTTGAAAGAGCTTTTTGTTGTTTGGGTGCTTGTCACAGATTTTCCAGCTGTATCATGGAAATATGAAAAAAAANCCTGTCTGAAATAATGGGATTAGTATATTCCCTGGAGGGTGAAATCAAAGTTTAATTGATGCTCTTCACTGAAAATAATTGTTACATGAATTTTTTAGCCGGTATTATTTTTATTAAGAACACATTCACGTCGCTTTTGCTGAAGACATTGAACGGCTTTAGCAAATTTGTAACCAGTTAGTCTGGTCCCAGTGTGAGATCTTTAACCTCAGTAAGAAAATAAATACAATGGAATAGCAACAAACAAATGAATCTTGTGATCAGTATATCCCTGAGAGAAAATTTCGTGACAAAATTGGGGGTGAAAGAACTTTGATTTTTAAAGCAAAGCAATGAAAAAGCTGAATGAATATACTGTTACAAATAAGATATTTCATACATGTTTCCTGTGGTTTGTTCACTAGAAATCAAATTGGTAAGGAAATTGGAGGAAATAAAAACCATTATGAAAGACGACCAAGTTAATCTATTAATTTGACCTGAATTAGAAAATCGTTGCGTACAATTTGGTTGACAGTTTTCAACCAGTATTGTCCTCTCAATTTTGCAATTATGTGTTTGCCCGTTAACCCAGTATTTAATGACACTGCATAGATTGGTCCGATATGGGTTTGATGTCCGTGATCCATAATCCCAACAAGTTACCTGTTTCTTCAGTGCTGTATATTTGGAAGCATTATTCAGTGCTGCTTTCCCACAAGGAGTAAGTTGGCAAATTGGCAGCTGTGCACCTCGGGAGCCATTTGCTAGCATCCTGTACGTCTGCTCAGCTGGCTCTGGCCTCCTGTTCGTCCCTTGGCCCATCCGCTCCGCCATCGGTGGCCGTGCCTTCAGCCACTACACCCCGAAACTCTGGAATTCAATCTCTCCTCTTTTCAAAAAAAAATCCCACTATATCCTCACACACCAAACTGATGTCTCATAGGGATAAGAGAGTGTGAAGTTGGCACCAATTTAGGAAAGAACATCCATAAGTGATGAATGATTCACATTCTGAACCACCAATTTTGGTTGTAAGAGCCCAAGGTAGAGAATGGTTTTCTTTGTTGCACAGTCTGATCCTATCCATTAGTCTGTCACTGATAGAAGTTGAACAGACAGCTTTCATCTGTCATTGGTGACTGATGGTTCAGACTCGACTTGGTATTTTAAAAGCTCTGGTTTAAGTTATATGATGAATAATCACAACAGGAAATGGTGGACAGTCGAAAAAAAACAGAAGCACTATACGATCTAGACTGATGTGACTGTACCATCTTTCTGCATTATTGTTAAAACTTTTAATACGTAGTTTATGTACCTAGAGTGAAATAGCCATATAGATTGGATGCTAGGTTTTGTCCTTGGACTATGCTGGAGTGGCAATTGGCTTCAGTACCTCTCATCTTGTCTAGGCTGAGAGAAACGGTCAATCCTGAACGTTACCAAAGGATTCCTGCTGGAAATCCTGTGTGGGTATTGGGTTCTTCCTCCCTCCTCAACCCAGTGACCCTCAAACTCACACTTAAGCAAGTCTATGGAGTGCTGTATTCCTGTATACATCTGCATAAATCACCACTTCAGAAGAAAACAGAAGGGAAAATTAGAAAAAATGTTTATTGCCATCTGCTTTATTCCAAACTATATTTATCCAGTTCACCATTCTGCTGGAGTGAGTAACGGTGCTATTCAAAATACAGGGAGGGTGAAACATTTGTTGTATTCATTACAGATTTCCCACTCCTGAAATCCTTCCTGTGTGCTTCAGGCTGAAGTCAAGGGTAAGAGGGGTGTCTGAAAAACTCTTTATATGAGTACCTTTTATCCAAAGAATGAAGCATCCAGACGATTGAATTTTGCAAATGTGTCAAACTAGTTAGTCATATGCAGCAGTTTGTGTGAAATACTTTGGGACTACACCCATGTGGTTGATTCCCCAATGTGCTTCTTTACATTTGCAGCATTAAGCTCAAATAAACTGATAGCAGTGCAGTGGAGTAATAACATAAGTGCAAATTCACTGAGCCTTGATGCGGATTTTGAAAACTGCATAAAAATGAGGCTTCTTTGTGGTGCTTGCAAATAGCTTTTTCTGTGCTGCAAACACATGTGACATTGATGACCTTAGCCTTGAAGTGGAACTTTTGTCAGGTTTGTATTTGTTGATATAAGATGTGTTAAATTAAGCAACGTGGCAGAACAGGTTACCACTGAACTGCACTCATCGTGCGGTTAAGTGCACACAAGTTGTTGCAGTTCTTCAAGCAGCAAGTTCCTAACCTTTATCTGTGCTGTCAGCAGCAGCCACTGACCAAAGGCCACCCAATTTTACCAACACTTTTGATAAAAGTGTAAAGAGTGCGAAAAAGGAGCAGCTGTAAACAGATACCCAAAAGAAGAAGAAAAATGAAAGAAGAATCTTATGGTGTCCCTGGAAAAACAGGAACATTGTTCTCAGTGAAGCTGGAAAATAGTGAACAATCGTTGAGAAATTGTCAGTGTTAATATGAGAGGGCACAACAATACTGATGACCCTGTTTGGCAAATGTAATTTTGTTGCTGTTGTTTGGCAAAGCCATGTTTGCAAAGAATGGGTCTCACGATGCTTGATGTATTTCTTGATTCTTGACTTTGGAACATATTATATTTCCTGAAGGCTTTGATCGCAGGGTTTGTGACTTTTCTAAAGGTCATATTGCACCACATTGCAGGAACTGTTTTCTTAAAATGTTGACGGGAGACTGGCTCCTGTCACCCCCCCTGCAGAAAAACTTTCAGATCCATGATGACCTTCAAATCTCTTTATCCGCCTATCCCATCTTACCTCTGTAATCTCTTCCAACACTATTCTCCT